CATCTGCATATGTAACACGCGCAATATAAGTAAATAAATTATTATCATTAAAAAGGTAACAACGCTACAACTTTTCATGGCTCACTGAATTGCCATATTTCCTAGATAATGGGCCTCCGCTTCGCGCGCGGGAGTACCACATGAACGTTGAACATTTTACTGAAGTGAAAGCTTGCGCTGTACAATAAAAACAATGAAAACAAAATGTTTCATATTACACTGTAGCACCCGTAAAAGTGATGTTAAGACAGCCGACTTTTAATCCATGTTATGCAGGAAAATACGGCCACTTTGCTGTTGTATGTAACAGTGTGCATGATTTCAAGAAATGTAAAAATTGTCAATGCTACACAATAATCAAAGAATTGTTAAAACTCCAGAGGAAAGAGGCTTTTACTACAGCAAAATATTGATATTCAATTAAATAATAGTCACATCAACATGTTGATGGTATTTGAGTCACTTGATACCATATGTCAATCTAGAATCTTGTTGGTGAAATTTTGACAAAATTTCCCAAAATAATTAAGGAGCTGACAGTTTTCTAACCCTGAGGGCAAGAATGAACCAAAAAAATACATAATTCATATGATTATGACAATGGGCTTGGACACTCCTGCACCCTTTACAATATCTGTGACAAATATATTTTAATTAATCAACATTTTGCATGTTTCCGGCATCTAAGATTTCTAAATATTTTAATTTATCAATTCTAATTTTTACCACATCTATCATCAGCAATTTTTATATGAGATTTGTCTCATTTAAAAAATACCTACTTTAAACCTAGAGAGTCCTGAATATTTACTTTTTAAGTTTCTAGAACTCAAGAATGAGCCTATATGGGAGAAAGGCAGCTCCTGGTTGTTTTTTGACAAAAAAAGAGAAACTATGACCCAATGAATTTTCATCACTTTCAACATTTTAGTTAACTTAGTTACATGAGGAATGCTAAATTTATATCCAACACTTCATACAGTTATCTTCATTATCATAATGTTATCTGTATTTGGCATTCTGTAGTTTGACTCATCTGGCCCATAAATGTGAAAATATTTCCCACTGGAAGAAGTTACAGCTAGAAGTAATCCTTGCTTACAGAAAAACACTTATGAATTTAGAAAGTAAAATAAACTACAGTGCAAACAAATACCAAATAAACATATTACACTGTAGTGAAAAAACACATATGCATATTATGCAGTGACTGGAAATACAAGAATCATTATACATGTAACCAATGGAGTCATGTTATATCTGTAAGAATCACAAACAAGGGTAGGTTTAAGTAGCTTGTATGGAATTTCTATCACACCACATTTTCAAGAGGGAGGCAGGGGTATGATTATTTTATAGAAAACCATATGAGACCATGAACAATTTACAGAATAGGTTCTTATTATTACTAAATTTGTTTCATCAAATACATTTTGTCCGAATTTTGTATCTGAACAAAGTATCTAAATTAACAATGTTATTATCAGTTTAAGGAGAGCTGTACACATACAAACTAGACTAAGTCAAAGCCAATGAAGAAAGAACACCTCCCACCCAACCTGGTGCCAGGTTTGCCAAAATGAAACAGGGAACTGGATTCATTGCCTCACAACCTATGCCATATTGAACATACGGGGAAAATATTTTCTTCCACCAGTCAAAAAAAGCATGAGCTTTCTGCACATCAACATCATAGGATGTACTCAAAGACTTCCAACGGACACAGCCTCCTTCTTCCTCATTGTCGCTTCTTTCATCATCAGTATCCTGGTCTCCATCTCCAGCCCTCTCCAGTGGGTTTTTGTGCATCTCAGGATTGAAACCATAAAGTGAAATGATATCGGTAGCAGTGGGGAGCGATTCTTTATCCCAGGTAAATAAGCATGTTTCTACCAAACCAGTGCCTTCATTCGCCCAAGCACCTATTAAGGAGAAAACATCTTACTAGGTGGAGTAAACTCCTATGTCAACTATCACTACTCATTTTATTTGGAAAAAATTAAAACAAAATGCTTAGCAGCCACGATAATTTGACAAACACTTTCTACAAGGATATATTCAATAATAATGATGATAAATACATTAATTGAAGCTCCCCCATAGGAGCTTTTCAGCCACAATGTAGACTAAGTGCTTGAAAGTCCCCACTGGCAGGAGGCACACCAGTGGGCCATTTACAGAGCGCAGCCTAGAAGTTGAACTAGGGGCAACCGAGAACAAATCCAATGAGTGGCAGGGTGGAGATCTTGAACCCGGGACACCAGATAACACCCTAACCACTCTGCCACGCCGCCGCCTCCTCCTCCATCCAAGATGGTGCAACTTTTACAAAAGTCACAAGTTTTAAACCTTCCACAAAATTTTCCATACTTTTTTAATGCAAACAGGCAGACAATAAGAATAAAGATTAGATTGTTAACTAGAAAAAAATATCTTGACTTAATAATAAATTCTCAGAACCAGATCACAAAGAAAGTATCCATTAGTTAGCAGAATTAACTTAAAGCTACTAGGAGTGAAAAGGTTAAAGCCAATCACAAAGTATAGTAGTCATGATTTTTATTTTTTTTAAAAAAAAAGTGTATTTTTGACATCTTGGAAATGACACCTGATTCCTCTTAGTATTACTTACCACAATCAAGTTCAAGCTCCTCTGCAGCCTTCTTTATTCTCATCAAAATGTACACAGCCTGGAGAAAATCTTTATACTTCAGCTGTTTATCTGAGGCAAGGGAATAACTTGCCAAATGAACAATGCCACACTTCCAGCGCTTTGGAAGATTAGAAAATACCCACACATTGGAATTATCTTCATTGTCATCCCAGTAATGAAACCATTCGTCTGGGTCAGACCACTCATTAAGATGTCCACTAGGTTCTTCTTCATCATCAAAATTGTAATGGCGGAGTACATAATTTTTACAAAATTGCTCTGATGAAAACATCTCCTGTTGAGTGAAAAATATATAACATAAAAAATTAAGAATTTTTCAACCAGTCTTTAATTTTTAGTAAGTCATAACTGTTTCTTTCTTTCTTTGGTGTAGTACATTGATGTTTAAACAGATACATCAAAGACCTTTACCATACAGTACTAAGGTAGAGGTAACTTTTCTATTGCAATTTAAAAAACTCATGTCAAAACTTTCTCGCATCTTCATAATAGGAGACTTTTTAAACCAAAAGCTTACATATGGAGAAATTTCACTCACTTTCCATTCTTTGCAGACCAACATACAGGTGCAGACGTCTGGCAGCGGCAAGAAAGCAATTATCTTTTCAATCACTTCTGAGGGAAGGGAGGGCAACGTAGTGGCCATCTTTACCTGCTTCACGGAATCACTCTGCGTAATCACGAAAAAAGACAAATCTCAAATATATCACAAATAATTGTACAAATTAATAGGGTATGTCATGACTAAGCTGACACTTTTGTACATTAGTCAAAAATCAGGTGTTATTGTCAGGAGAGCACATTTCGTGGTTTCGTTTTCAAACAATTTGAGTAGCTTTACTTTTCAACAATTTGAGAGCTACAGCCCAGAGCAATGTCAAAAATGTACTGAAAATGGCTGAGCTGAGTTTAAAAAATCGTAAGCCTTCCTTTATGTATACTTACTACTTTCTGTTGTTTTAAAGCTTGTCGAGCTTCAGCCATAACAAAACCTGGCCAGGCTCTGTCTGCTAAGATTGGGCACGAGTTCTAGAGTTCTTTAAGAAGGTGAAGGCAGGGTGGGGGACTGTTACTGAGAAGAGGACATGGATTAATCAATGAACTTTTGGTAGATGTCTATTATACATCCTGCATTTGAATACTTATATTTAAATTTTTAACCATTTAAGTGGCTACTGTACCTTATTAGTTACAAACATAACCTCGTGATTCAGTTGCTTGGTAAATATTCCAGAACCATCTCTTCTTTGTAAGCAGACCCACATAATCTAACACGCAGACCACGAAGACCCGCAGACCCATGTTATGGGCGCCTTCGAATATACTTCGTAGTAGCCAGCGGCTATTCACAACCGGATGTTTTCAAAATGGCGGATCAGTTTAAAGATCCTTCTACTGTAGTGAAACAAGCACGGTAACATATGATGCTTACATTTATGCTGGATAAACCATGTGTTTTTGATACATCTTAGTATTTATGAGGGCCATTTCCATTTTACAGGCTCTTACAGGATCCTGACTTCAAAGAATTCTGCGCCAGAGTTCTTGGAATTTTGCAGAGTCCTGATCGGGGCAATGAGTGTCTAAATACTTTAAGGCGACTGTATCTGTTGTTGGCTGCCACTAGACAAAGGAGAAGGTAATTATTGTCAAATAATCCTCCCTATAAATGATTTCTTATCTCTATTTTAACTAATCAGATGGAAATCAAGTTATAGATTATGAACCGTGTCAGTCAGTCGAACTTTGTTTTGATTTGTTGGCTTATAAAAATCCTAGTTTTACTTCAGCAAGTTACTTCCCAAATTCTTACAACATCGATTGATTATTCAATAAAAATTTTATGGAAACAGACACATTCATCAGTCGGAGGGTGTTTCTCCAAACTACTTTTCCAGTGTAAGATCTGGAAGGGAGAATTTATAATCAGATCCTTGGAGCAACATAGTAAAGCAGGATTATGTAATGTGCTTTTCCTTCCACCAGCTTGTCAAGTCAATTAATTAATGAGCTACAAAGTGTTGCTGGTGAACCTCAACAAGGCCCCAAAAGATTACGCCTCCTGTGCTGTGCTATATTGCGTGAGGTAACTCCAACAAGTCAGCTTGTTATTTCTAATGTGGAACCACCAGTGGAGCAGAAGAATATACCAATGATATTACCCTTGGTGTGGGTTCAGGTATGTTTTAAAACTGATACAATGAAGCACTATATTATCCAATCACTCCTATGATATCAGTATCGATTCATTGATCAGTTCTTCAGTGAGGGAATATAAACAATGAACCACGGTAGACTATTCTTCTCTAACAAAACTGGATTACAATTTGATTGTCACTAAACTGTCTAAATTTAAGACTGACTAGTGCAGCTGTCAGAGATTATCTTTCTGGGGTTCTGCAGCATTGTTTGCTTCTTCTCTATAACTGAATGCTAGTCCAAAACAGGTTCCCTCCCTTCCTTGCTGCAGCTATTTGTTAAGCTTCCCTGGTAGTTTCTAATAGTTCAGTTCTCTTATGCTATTTTAATTGAGGTTCTTATGAAAACTCAAACCTTGCATTTTCCTGGTAACACACTAATCAGAGAACTCCAAACCCCCCTCCCCCTTTGTCACTAGTGATTTTGAACATATATGTGCTTCACTATTTAGGGCCAGGAGCGAGGCTTTTGGACAAACTACATTCCACAACTTATGCAGTAAGAAATATAAAAACTAACGATGACAAGTGATAGTCTAAGATTCATTCTGTTCATTAATACTTCTGTGACCTTAAAATGCTGTTACATGTACAAGTAGCTTGTCGTGATTTGTTATGTTCTTTACTTGCAGATGGTTGACAAAACCTGGGGTCCCTGTGGAATTGCAAACATTGTCTCTTGGTTCTCTTCAATTATTAATAAACGCAGATGATAGTTTGATATCGCAAGGTTTTTATCAGAGAATATATTTGGAAATATATTAAGTTCTTTAATTAGTGAAATTGACTTGTAATGCATTTTGTAGTGAACACAAGAAATCAAATTTGAGCAACTTCTTTCGAACACCTCATCAAGATAATGAAATAGTACATTAAGAAGCAGAAGGCTTTTCGTTGTAATGAGAAAAACACTACAAGCTACCAATTAAGAGATAAAAGATATTTTCTCTACATATATCATGCAAATAATTCAACTGTACTCACAATGGAAGTACTCATTAACTTGAAAATGAGAAAACAATGACATGGTTGATATGTTCACTTGATGTCACAGATGATGCTGGAGCAGTGAGTCCTCAAATGGCCAATTGGCTGAAGAATGCAAGCACAGTATCAGCTCCAAACCCTTACCAGAGACAGTTATTTGGAGGAGGAAAGTCAAAGGGGGTTGGTACCTAGCATAATTTGAACAAAATTAATGTTGAAAGAAATGTTATGACATTTATTTAATAGATCTAAATTTATTGTTTTCATTTATTATTACTCCAACTTAAAACTACAATCTTTGTCTGTCAGAATAACAGGATTCTTTTGCCTAGACTTTTATCACTTTTAAGTTTCTTGTACTGAAATGACAGTCTTTTAGTATTAACTTGTTGTTGTATGCATGTGGTTTTGCCGTACTAAAGAACAGAACGCCTGTCATTTTTTTTGTAGTACCAACTTGTTACAGAGGTTGATGGAACATCATCAAGATACTTTTTTACAGTCTTGAGTATTGGTAAGCCAATTCATAACAGATAATTATTTTATATTGCTGATAATGTGCTTGTCATACTTTGACTTGAAAAAATCTGTTCTCAAGTTTGACTGTCGTACATGTGGGTGCTCTAGTGGCTATTTGATAATTTGTGCACCAAGCTTCAGATTGGACTTTGATTTGAGGTCATGGTGTAACTTGTTTTCAATTGTTGGAAAAGGGAATAGAACCTGGTTTTCACTGATATCACAAGCACAAGCATAGTTTCAAGCATAACAGCTCTTATTTCATGGTGAAAATGGTATTGATGCAAGCACAGGAAAAGGGAAAGATTCTGATCCTTGTTGTTTTTGCTTGTGCTTGTGTTTATGTTTTCACTGTTAATGAGAGCTGCTATGCTTGTGTTTGTGCTGGCCTCCTGTTTTAATTTTCTTCACCTCACATCTTCACAGTTATGTGAAAAGGATACCAGGTAGGTTCAATTTAGTACCTGATGAGTACTTTAATTACTTGGGCCAATTAGTCTAAAGAGTCTAAAGGGGCCTATATTCCAGTTGGCCCATATTCAATTTTGCTGATCCATTTTATCTGATCCATTTCATCAGTAGCCTTGGAGAGAGGCAACCAGTGCCATGACCACCTTTGTTGCTGTGGAAAAAAGACCTGCATTTATCTAATCATAATTTGTTTCTTTGCTCTGTTCCACAGCACAGTACTGTTTTCCTGACCAAATCTTAAACATTTACAACTTTTCCATGTTGCGATCATGGCTTCAGCACCTCAAGTTTACAAATACCATCTCAAATTCTAATTCTCCAAGGGGTGGTGCATCACCACTGATCTTTTCAACTGCCTCAAATTCAGGCTCTGTGGAGAATCTCAGTCAGCCAGGTTATTGTTCCAGCTCACCCTCTCAAAATGTTCTGAACCAAAGTAACTCAAGTATGGACAATGTCTCCATAGATTCGCAGTCATCCACTGGTTTTATTATTCCTTTGTCCCGATCTTCTCCACAAGGTTCTGAGAACCAGTCAATGAGTCAATTCCCTATGCCTGGCTCATCCCTGACCATCCCTACAGATGACCAGTCATTGTCAAGTGGTAGTGATTCTAGACCCCAGACTCCATTAAGTTTTTCCCATGATCCTGAAGAGCATGGTACCAAGGACCAGGCTCAGCAAGCATCAAAGAGAGGAAAACATAAAAGAAGTATGTCAACTCTAAGTTTCTCAAAATTATTCCCTTCAAGTCTTCATGGAGTGAAAAGTGGCGAACAAGAACTGAAAGAGAGGGCCTGTGAATACTGCTTGAGGCTCCTGGAACAAAGTGAAAGAAGTAAGGGTACTATAGTTTTTGCCTTTGAAAAACCAACCTGTATACAGGCAAACTGTGATCAAATTTGTTGTTGCTATGTTTGATTTTATCAATTTCATAAAGTCTCATGTAAAGTTTATAAATTTTTCAAATAGAACCAAGCAAGCAACAGGATGCCATGTTAATTGAAGCTGTAAGTGAATATTTGTTATCTAGAGGCTTTGATACTGTTGTTATGATTTCCTACACTAATCAGTAGATGTCAGTGGTTAAAATAATAACTGTGGGTGACTTTTAATCATTTGATTATCTTAACAGTGTCTGGTTGAAGTTATCTACAATTTGGATGTTCTATGCTCAACAGACAAGTCTTTGATTCCCAAACTTATAGAGATCATTAGGAGACTTTATGCTCGAGTTACCTCTGATTTCAACAGATGGAAAAGAGTATTGATTCCAGTGGTACAATTCCTTCTTAATCATGGTGAGTTGGACAGAAGTCTTCCTAAAAAGGCTTTCAGTTTGGTTCAGAGGATAGGAGTGTGTTTAACAACAAGTGCAGATGATCAATGAAAAGGAGACTTGTGTGGTAGCTCCAGCATGAGAATTAATCAGATGAAATATGGCTCTCTTTTGACAACTCTCTGCAAAACTTAAAAAATTAACAATCAATTATTTCTGACTAAACATGAATTTAGGACTGTTTAGCTTCATAGCTAAGTAACTCATTCCCATGAATGGCATG